TGACACACTATATAAAAATGTAGTATTGTTGAATCCTTGAGGTCTTGAGTTTTTCCAACAATAGGAATGCAGTTGCATCCAACAAAATGTAGGACCTGAAAGTTCCATTTCTATCTTGATAGATCGAAAATCTTCCGGTGTGTTAGGGTGAAAAATAATTAACTTCAAGTAGTAGATGTCAAGATTTTTGAAATCATTATGCACATGAAAATTTTAGTAAGTACAAATGGAAGTACCAGTCTCTACTTTTGCTATTGTCATAGAAATTAAATTTGACATCAACAAAGAGAAAAGTTATTTGGAGTACCACTCTTCTCAATTTTTGGATGAGGTCTCAAATTCGAATTCTCCTCTTGTAGATGAAAAAGAAAGTTATTGTATCTACAAGTAATCGTAATCATGTACTATTGAAACACAATTGTATGAGTTATAATAGGGCTACTATTTACTTATTGAAAAGGTATATGATTCACAAAATTTGTGGACAATAGCAAGGGAACAACATTATGTATATGTTGTATGAGTTTTTCTTTTTCTTTTATCAGCCAAATAAATATGATATTGTTGTTGGCCCATTTTAGTTAGAGAGAGAGAGAGAGAGGGAGAGTCGGCTGTATAGAGGGAGAATAGAGAGAGTTTGAAAATTTTGTGGTACGAATTCTCACCCCTTTATGCCTTTATTTATAGTGATAAGAAAGAGAGAATCTAGCTCTCCAAGTAGTTCAAATAAAACAAGGAAATTGTTGAGAATGAATCTCACATTGATGGGATGAGGGACCTTGTGTGGGTTTATAAGTAAGCTGGCATACTCCTCATATTGCCAATTGGTTTTATGGTGGAACCTCAACTTTCTTCATGGTATCAAAGTAGGTTTTCCCACGTGTGAAGCCCAATGCTTACACATGCTCCACGTCACTCGAGTTGTATTGTCCACGTGTTACGCTTGAAAATTCTCCACATTTGAGAGGACGTGTTGAGAATGAATCCCACATTGATGGGAAGAGGGACCATGCATGGGCTTATAAGTAAGTTGGCTTACTCCCATATTGCCAATTGGTATCATGGTGGAACTAGAATGTCACATCCCGGCCACTTGACGGCTAGCACGTCTTGATTTAGGTTGGGGTGTGTCATGGAACCTCAACTTTCTTCAAAAATATCTCATAGAATCAAAATTAAACGTTTTCAGGACGCAAGTAAAATGCACACAACGATACGACCAGCTCAGGATAGGTGCCTCGTTAAAACCTCGTTAGGTAGCAAAACCCCAATGGAAGAAATGCTCCTAATCTAAGAGAAAATTAGTACTTTAGGGCCAAGTAAGTACATTTTTGGATGCTCCCCATGAGTTTGACAAACTTCCAAATAAGAATTACAAGCATTAAAAAATCAGATAATTTATGCATACTAATTCCTTGAACAAGCTTCTGGAAAGTAGACTTTAACAGTGACTTCGTGAAAATGTTGGCAAGGTTGTCCTGAGAACGAATCTGCTTGACTTCAACTATCACAATAAGAAATCAACATAAACTATAACTATTGAAAATTTGGAATGTGACTTCTTGATAAACTCGCAAGGGCATAGTTCATTACTCATATATCCCTGACTAATCAAACACTTACTCAAACAGTTATAATACATCCACCCGAATTGTTTAAATCCGTAGAGTGAACGTCTCAATCTAATCAAGAGGGTGTTTTGTAGTCTAAAACTATTTGATCCAGCCAATGTAAGTCTTTTGGGAACTTTCATGTAGATTTTCGTATCAAGATCCCTATAGAGGTAGGCAGTTACCACATCTATATAATTAATATATTCAGTTTTTCAAAAACTACTAAACTAATAAGGTAACAAAACATTATGACGTCCATTATGGGGAAATACGTCTCTTGGTAATATATCCCAAGGCGTTGAGAAAAGTCTTGCCCCATGAGGTATGCCTTAGATCACTATCTCATTCTTCTCATAATGTTTTCTTATGAAACTCACCTGTAGCCAAATAGGCTTCACATGTAGAGGTATAGGAACTATTGGCACAAACACTATGTTTCACAAGCGAATCAAGTTCAACTTGAACTGCTTGTTTCCAGTTTAACCAATCAGTTATATTTTGACATTTATCAATGGAACACGGTTTCTCATCGCTCAGCATGATATCAATAGCTAATGTGTATGCAAATGCATTGTCAACTAACATCTCATTCTGATTCCAAAGTACATCCAAGTGTGAAAAATGTGAAACAAATATGCAAACACTCGTGATCGCATCCTCTACGCTTTGACGATGGGTACATCGTTTTTGGATTTTTAAACTCTACAAACTCTTGTGAACAGTGTTTTTAGATGGAGTACAAAATGTGTAAATAATTCATTTACAAGTGCAAAAAAGTGAAAAATTATGCCAACGCTTGTGATTGCAACCTCTATACTTTGACGATGGTTACATCGTAATTTGGAACATTAGGCTTTAGGATTTAGTGTATGTAGATATTAATTTAAGGACAAAGTGGTATGTAGATACTAATTTGGTATGACGTTTTTCATTTGATTATATATTAAAATAAAAAATATATTTTTAATGTGTAACAGGTCGGGTCACAGTACCTGTTAATTTTAATGGATCGAGTCATATTACCCATTTGTTTTAAGGGGTTTGACACGACATGATTCGTTATGATATCAGGCATGTCACAAAAAAGACACAAACACAACACGATCGTCAGGTCTAATTCATTCAAAAACTTGAAGTCCTAGAAGCGTAAATGCTGCCAATCATGTCTTACGTTATGCAAGAAGATATCTTTCTAGTGATCAAAGCGAGCCAAACAGTGCGTGGATCTTCTTCAGTTAGGTATTCAGTTTGCATTGCATCATGCATATGTGAGAAACTTCGGGAACACAAGATACGTGTATAAGATATTGGATCGTAATTCATAAAAAATGGGTTGATGGTCAAGAATATGTTTTTTGTCGAACTTATATACTGCAAGTCACTTAATTAATCTAATAGGCCGGATCCAAATAGAGATCGAGAGTGGAAGCAAGAAGATATAGTAGTTCAGACCCCTATTTGGGCCCGGTTGCTGAGGGCCAATGGGAACCCTAGAGTTGAGCTTATAGCCCGTAAGGATAGGCACCCCAGCAAAAGCTGGGTGCGGGCTGAAGCAGAGAAGAACGCCCATAAAGGGTTTGGGCTTAGAAAAAAGGGCCCCAACAGTAGCCAAGGGTCGGCCGAGTGAGCAACTAGCCCAATAGGGTTGCAGGTTGCTTGACAGAAAGCCCATCAAAGATGGGTGTGGGTTTAGCTGGAGAAGATCAATGGCGCTGCCTCTAGTGACAATATTCTTAAACAGAAGTGGCATATGCAGGTGCGGCCCATTGGTCTCGAAGGTCAGCAACGTCTTAAAAGACGGCATCGAGGGTTAGTTCGTGACGGTTGGGTCCAAAACCAATGATAATTGAAGTGAATCCCACAAATCACGATGAGATTTGACTTGAATCTCGATGTATGTCGTCGAAGACGACGATGTTTCATAAAGGAGGTCGTGGATTGACTACGGGCGAGCCCAAATGGGCGATGATAGAGATGACGCAAAACGACGTCGTTTTTGAGTTTTGGAACAGGAGTGGCTTGGTTCCGTGTGCGGCACGGAAAATTTTTAGGTGTACCGGGTACACCAAATTTTTTTGGTGTACCCTCACTCATTAAAATTTTTTTGGTGTACAAAAAGTGAGGGTGCACCAAATTTTTTTGGTGTACCCTCACCATTATGAGTGAGGGTACACCAAAAAAATTTGGTGTGCCGGGTACACCGAAAAATTGCTCGTGCGGCACAGCTTGACGGCTTGACACTTCACCCCAGCAATATTGAATAATACAATATAATATTACATATGCATGAACAACATATATAAAAAAAAAAAAATATTGTGTATTCATGAACAAAATATATAATAGAGCAATATAAGCATTATATAAAGCAAAATAAATTTGAAGTTCATGAATCATGGTAAATATTTTCATGTTATCAAGGCTTATAAAATATTGATTATGTGTTTGGGAAGTTACTTGATTGAATGGAAACGATAGAAGCTTTGGGTTGTCGAAGATCCTTCTCCAAAATCCTTCCATTCCTTAGAGCAGCAACATGAGCGTGCTGATATCATGTTGTAAGTCTATTTTACTGAACGAAAGAGAAAGAGAGGGCTGGCGGCGGGGAGAGAGAATAAAGAGAGTCTAGGAATTTTGTGGTGTCTTTTTTGTGCCTCTGTTGATAGTGATAAGGAAGAGAGAATCTTACTCTTCAAGTAATACAAATACAACAAGGAAAGATCTCATAGAATCCTATACATAATTTAGTAAGATTTACAAAATTACAGTCCTAATGAAATTAGAACTGCAACAAAATAGGTATATATTTCCACTTTCTAGTTGGAAATACACATAAAATGGACTAGAAAATGTGTTTTTACAGCTCGTCACCATTGAAGACATGAAGAAAATTATAAAGGAATGCAGCCACATTGTGATTCCCTGCATGCTAGAGTCGAGCCAGTTATGGCCAAAATGTCAAAAGCACTGACTTTATTGTGATGGAGGGTTCCGAGGTACCTTCTGCCACATGGAATTGAACCAATGTGACAGGAATGAAGAGAAGGGAAGAGAAGTACTAGTAGTCTAGTACATTTTTACCATGTAAAAGTTGTAACTAAGAATTAAATCATAAAGTTGCTCAAACTGCACCTGCATATCAGAGTAGTCAATAGAATAGACATGGTATCCCAACTGATCTTATTGCCATGCAGGTGAACAGAACCACATTGTTCTATGTTCAAGACTTCAAGTTCCTAAATTAGTTAAACACAACAAGCAACATCGCCCACAAGTATTTCAAATTTGAACTGGGAGAGAAATTGAAGCTTATAAGTCATAAATAAAAAATTTGAGAAATAGATCATCGATCCCCTTGTAACTTGTTGGCTTAGTGGTACAACCAGAGGTCAGTAGGCATTGGGTTCCACTAGCACCCAGTTGGATCATCGTTGAATTACCAAAAAAAATAATAATTAAGAGAGAGGTGGATCAAAGTATGATTGCAAACGAAAGAAATTCTACTGAATTCAGACACCAAATCAATTTACAACCCGTTAACCCCAATTACCATGCATTATTGGTGTTATTTGAGGCCAAAGTAGGTTGCCTCTGCCAAAAAAGAATGTTGATCTTGTGGTACTACTACTGCTTGTTGGCAGCAGGTTTCATAGTCTGCAACCATTTGAGTACTATAAACCAGTGAGTTTATGTCTTCCCAACTAATTTCACTCTCTGCAGAAGCAGTACTGGTCCCTGCACTGCTACCGTTGTTCAACGTCTCCTCGGAGGCTTGATAATAAAAACCACCCAGTTGCTGATGCTGATGAGCAAAACTGTTGTCGTAAACCTCCAATTCAGTTAGCTGGTGAAGATGATCAGCCTGTAGATTGTTATTCTGATCGTCGAGCCCATGAAATATGGTTGGACTACTTGAACCCCCAGTACCGTTACTAGCATCAAAGTTTGTGCTTGGAAATTGAGAATAGTTATTACTGTTGGCTGCTGAAGTAGAAGCAAGAACATCAATGGAGCTCTGATAGAATTGGTGATCTGATGACGAGGTGGACGAAATATCGACCGGGTACTGAAAACTTGTGGTGCTAGTGTCAGAATCATGGGAAAATCTTCCTCCAAGATTGATGAGCATGGTCTTAATGGAAGCGTCATCCTGCATGAGTTGAAGGTCATGTGTTTGATAATTAGCCACTGGCACTACTGGTAGCTCTGGCCAGTTATAAGGGTTCTGGTTGAAAAACCCAGCTGAGATATTAATAAAATTTGCGTTATTTTCTGATCTTTTGATCATCTCTTGCTTAAAGATGGCAGCGCGGCGACTCTGCTGAGCCTCCTGTTGTTTACGCTGCTTGCCCAAGAGCTTTTTCTTCAGCCTTGTGTTCCAGTAGTTCTTAATATCGTTGTCCGTTCGCCCTGGTAACTGGGCTGCAATGACAGACCACCTGTCCAAAAAATAAAAGGTACTACTTAAAATTCGTAAAGTGATAAACTTCCAAATTGAAGAGCATTAAAAACTAAGATATATAGCCTTGAAATTGTTAAAAATATACCTGCTTCCAATACTCATGTAGAGGCTGCAAATGATGTTATCTTCTTCCTCGGAGAACCCGCCGTGCTTGATATTCGGCCGAAGATAATTCAACCATCTAAGTCGACAGCTTTTGCCGCACCTTCTAAGGCCTGTCGTTGATCATGAAAAGTAGTACAACAGTATTGATGAAAAGTGATCAGCTAATAATTAAACACATAGGTTGGATCATGATCAATAATTTTGTTAATTAACTGGGATGAGGAGGATCTGAAGTGATTAATTTCTGACCTATCTTCTGAGGCAAGGTAATCCAGTTGCCGCCGGTGCCATGCTTCTCGATATAAGCCTTGAGTGTAGCATCTTCTTCAGGTGACCAAGGGCCTTTCTTAACGTTGGCTTTGTCACAGCAAGGAGCTCTGCCCATGGCTTTTGCGTTAACCTGGTTTTTTTTTTTTCCGGATGTGTGGGTTATGTTGTGATGAGCCTTGGTTCAGCTATATATGTATCAGTTAGCTCCCCCTTTATGATTACCAATTGATGATAATTTCAGAAAGTTTATGATAATGTTAATATAATATATGTAAGAGAGAAAGAGAGAGAGTATAATAGCTGGAGAGCTGAGGAGATGGCTGGGGACATGGAAAGGGTCACAGAAATTCAAAAAGTTGAATTGAAAAAAGGGTGAGCCTTTACCTATAGAATATTGGAGAATTGGAAATGCCAGAACAGGAGACCAGAGTTTCATCTCATTGTCTCTCTCTCTCTCTCTCTCTCTCTCTCAGAAACGTAAGATAGTGGATGATGACGACGATCAAAAAATAAGTGACGCGACTAGAAGCTTTAAAGAGTTGAAGCAAACATCAGCTTGGTTTGAACTTTTCCACTGGTTCATGACCGTGAATGGTTCCTCAAGCCTTTAGTAAGAAGTTAAGAATAATTCGTCCAGGCAGCCATTATCATGGTCTTGATATGCAACACAAGGAACGTGTGAAATGAAAACACCATTTGACAGTGTTTCATGCACACATAAAAATTCTATAGCTAGTCAGGATCTTATTTTAAGCATGAGTTAAGGTATTTTTCCATTATTTAAACTTTTGTTTTGAAGATAAAAAAGGTTTATCTATATAGGTAGAGTCTATGACTTATATAGCAAAAATGCTACTCTTACCATATTTTTACACTACAATTTTACTTTTAATAGAAATGAAACCCACGTATGTTAGTGGCCATACCTCTAATAGACAGGTGATACAAATGTATTATGTAAAATATAGTAAATGTAGAATTACTGCTTAAATAATATATTTACTTAGATGACTATTGCAAGTCCCTTTCTCTGGTTTTGGAGTCGTTGGGGTTGGTTTTCGATGAAAATACCAAGAGGGTTTTGAGGTGTTAATTAGGGACAATTTCTTGTGAAGGAACACACCACTATATGTCAGCCCGCCATGGTGGATGAAGCAGTAACAGTCGCTATATACTTGATATAAGAAAATTGTGTACTCCATCTAATATGGGAACAAACAACCAAAATATATTTTATTTACTTGAAAAGGGAAAACTCTGTATGAAGTATTATGTATTCGGCTCACTTGGATAACATAGAAGGTAAAGAAATGGGATGAGTCCTGTAAGATGAGGGAGCAGAGGTTACTCCTTGGATTAGACTACATGACATTCTCAATTGGACTACCGGCGGCTTCTAGTGCAACACAAGTGGGGAATTCTTTCTTGGCTAGCATTATTTATTGGCACTCTTTTCTAACTTCTTGCATCCTGTATATAATATTTCTTTTCATATTTACACGTTAGCATCAAATAAATATTTCTAGACCGTAAGTTCGTAAGTATGGACAACATATGCATGAAAAAATGAAGTGTGATCAATGATTTAAATTTATAATTTAACAAAATAAACATCTTATATTCTTAAAGTCTGGAAAAAAAAATCAAACTATTTAGCTATAATTTATTTGACGCGTAGATTATTGCACCAATTATTGTTACTACATGTTAAAAAATAAATCAACTGAAACTGTTGCTAATGTTGTCAGAAAATATGATAACCTTTTCTTATAAACTTTGTAGTAGTAAGAGGTTAAGAAATTAAAAGTGTATTATACTCGACTCATTTTCCCATTATGTACACTAGCCTTCATGCACGCGGGTGAGCGCGTGTAGAAAGTATTTTTTGAATCATGACGTGTTACGCATAATTTATACGTTTTAAATGTATTTAGCGTGAATTGATAAAAGGAAAGTCAAATATTGAATAAATGAATAATCTTAGATCATGCTAAAAGAAAGCTCTCATAAATCAATTAAAGCAGTTAAATTCACATAATAAAATCGATCTCTATAGAATTTATATTAAAAATAGAGAAAATAATATTTAATAACAATTGATTGAATTACATTATTACTAGCCCATTGTGAGGCTAAGTCCATCCCCCTCCCCCTGAGTGTAGATAATATCATTTGTTAAAAGAAAAATCATTTGATAACTAATTTAATCACATTATTATCCGCGAAAAACCTTTTTATATAACCAGTATTATACGTATCTTCAGATGTTTTGAACGTTTTTTAAAATAGAGAAATTGAATCACATTATTACTAACATATTGTGAGGCACTAATTAAAAAACAAAAGCACAAAAAAAATTAATTATTAAAAAAATAATGTTAAAATGATGAAAATGCCTCTGCCTTATTTGATGCATTATTTTGAGATGCCTTTGAATTCTTTTGTCTTGGGAGCATTTTTGTCCAAATATTGTTGTTGATGCTTGGTGACACCAAAATCACTATTCACTTTTCCATTCTCTTTATATATAGATATTGACAACTAATTTATTCACATTATTATCCATGAAAGACCTTTTTTTATAACCGGCATTACAAGCCTCTTCAGATGTTTTGAACGTGTTTAAAAATAGAGAAATTGAATTATATTATTGCTAGCATATTGTGAAGCACTAATTAAAAAAAAAGCACAAAAAAATTAATTATTAAAGAAATAATATTAAAATGACAAAAATGTTCATGCCTTATTTGATGCATTATTTTGAGATGCCTTTGAATTTTTCATCTTTGGAGGCATTTTTGTCCAAATCTTGTCGTTGAAGCTTGATGACACCAAAATCACTATTCACTTTTCCATTCCTTTTATATATAGATATTTTGAAAGATCAAAAAGTCCGGGCCGCCACAGGTATTACCATTGTGTGGAATATAATGGAAAGGTTTTTCGTTATGGTAGGTGAACGAAAAACACCACCAATAGAAGAACTAAATCACCGTGAAATTACCATTACCATGAGATTAAATCAGAAACTGTGATGTGATAATAAGATATGACAACGGGGTTATATATCAGTCGTGTGACAATATTGCCTACAAAGATTTCAAGAAGAATAGTGTTATTCATACATTTATTTTTATCTTCTACACACTTTTGTTAATTTTTTGTCGTTAATCTTCTTCAATTTGTTCAATCTGATAGCTAAAAATTAAAAAAAACATGTGAAAAATAAAAATATGTATATAAATAGCACTACACTTTCAAAAACTTCTCACATACACCACAGAACAAACTTGACACCAATAATGGGTAGCTTTTTATAGATGACAAAACAAGATATAACAAGGGTTTAATTAATTAATTGAACACTGATGTACCATTGTAGTTTATAAAGCAGCCAATTATGCTAATGACACATGCCATTTTTGGACCCATTTGGCATAATAAATATGACAAAGACTTTACAAGACAAGCGTACTTGTTTATATTAGCATTCAGCCACCAGTCACGTACAGGAATTCCACTGTCAATTTTATTATATCACATATAGACCTTCTTGTATGTCGTTTATCGTTCTGATTATAATTTATTGTGGAGTCTTTTTTTTTTCATGATTTTGATAAAGTGAGTTAAATATAATAATTTAATATCAAATTCGCTAACTATAAGAGTCAAATCTAAAACCTAACTTTTAAATGAAGATCAGGAATACGGCAAGATTATAGCACTAAGTGAAAATTCATTATGATGTAGCATCAAATTTGAGTTATTTTAGATGCAATAAAATTAAAATGAGGAAGCAAGGTCTAAAGACAAAAAGTGATTGAAAAATTAAAAATTCGAATACTATTTGTTGTTGTCATGTCTTGAAAGTTAATGTTCTAGACTTTTAGGTAGCTCCACAAGAGGAAATAAAAAAAGAACAAGGTTCGGTGTTAACAAATGTCTGAGATTTAGTCCCAAGACTTGTTTTCCAAAAACTTGCACTAAGTTTCTGGATTATAGGTCTTGTGACCATTCCACTATAAACACTTATGCCGTATTTATTATATTTTAGGAAGTGTTTATAATTTTATTATTTCATATTTTAATTTTCTTTTGGAGCCAAGACTATATAATGGTTGTATTTCAACATTCATTCATATTTATTATCAATTAAACTTTATAGAGATTTTAGTATTTTTTGTTGTATTCCGGCAGTATGCTCTTCCGCTTATGTTTTAGGATTTGATGATGATCGATCCTATCTATCTCGTTTCTCGTTGTATCCATTATAGAGTTTTTTTAATTCTCGTAATCGATATTTTACACTAATTTACATATATATAAGGGAGAGAGTTTAAATTTATTATGCAATAAATTGAAAGATTTTTTTTTTTGGTTGAATCTGAAAGAAAATTCACATCACGACAATCGATCAGTATCATTCTTTTTATTATAAAATTATCTTTAATGTTCTTCATGAGAGGGCCAGCTTAATTATTGAAGGGAAAGAACATAGAAAATGGGAAAATGGACACCAAGGAAGAAAGTATTGGCTGAATTGACTCAGTATGAAAGGGTAAAAGTCAAAGGTGGGCTTGTACAAAATGGTGGTTGATTTTTTATGATGCTAAGATTTGCCTTGATTTTCTTTTTTATTGTGATTTGTTGTCGCTATATACGTAGTTTAGAATTACTCAAGTGGTCCCAACAAGTCCACGAAAGTTTTTGGAAGGAAAATAATACATAAAGTTTAGGAATCGGGTTTATAATGAAAGAAAAAGGTAGCTAGTAATAAAGTAAGGTTGAATTTGAAGGAAGAACATTTTGATAAAATGAAGGGAACGGTCTTCATGTTAGGCCAAGTAAACTGACTCTCTCTCTCTCTCTCTCTCTCTCTCTGTGGAAAGTGGAAACGGTCTTCTTGTTAGGCCAAGTAAACTGACCCTCTCTCTCTCTCTCTCTCTCATGGTTTCTTATTCAACTTTTTGATATCTTCTTTTTTCTGTGTCTGATCCTAGACCTACTAGCGTGAAAGGTTATTTTGACAGGGTTCAAAGCGCAATACAGCTCAAGGCCACTTCCTTCTCGAGGAATTTTTCTAACCAAACCAAAGCAATACAGCACAAGTACATTCAAGAAATGGAAACAAAACTGTTCTTCATGTGTGAGCTAACTTTCATGAATTGCTGCAATATAATCAACTAATTTGGCAACCACAAATTAGAAACTTAATTATTTGCCACCAACAATCGAGTGGAATTAACCTTATTTCCCGAACAAGTAGTAAGGTTAGGATATGCACTACATATGGATGACTAAATGCTTCAATTGATTATGTACAAATATGATATTTGAATGGCGAAAAAGAAAATAAACTATTATAATTAGTGTCACATCCCGGTCTGGGCACCCACCACATCCCGGGCTCAACTCCACTGTAGCACGATATTGTTCACTTTGGGCCCCGACCATGCCCTCACAGTTTTGTTTCTGGGAACTCACGCGAGCAGAACTTCCCAGTGGGTCACCCATCCTGGGAATGCTCTCGCGTGCTACTCACTTAACTTCGGAGTTCCCATGGAACCCGAAGCCAGTGAGCTCTCAAAAGGCCTCGTGCTAGGTAGAGATGGAAATATACATATAAGGCTTATAGGATCCACTCTCCTGGACGATGTAGGATGTT